CAACACCTCACCTTGACGCTCTCTCTCCCTTTGGTCGATTGGATCTTTCTTAGCTCTCTCAATCGCCCATTCCCGAAACACGCACGCCCTCGATTTACACACACCCTTGCTTTTACTTGGCTATCGCAACCTACCTTGCCTATCGAATCGAATCGTTGCGCTGCATTGCACTGCTGTGCTGTGCATCTCAACTTCTTCTCTCACTTCTCTTCCCCTCCCCTCCTGTCCTCATCCTCTTTTCTCACCTCGTGATGCTCATTACTGCGACTTCATGCGAGCGAGACAAGAGAGGTCCGAGTTCAATCAGGCCCTATTTAATCAAAGCCCACATGACATCAGTCTCGCTCTGCCCGAACTGATCGATTTCGATTAATATCCGCACATCTAATCTTGATACCAAGGCAGAGCAGAGACAGTGCTCACGCAGAGTCCCCCTCTTTAGCTCTCTCTCTCTTTCGCTCGCTCGCGCTCTTCCTGTCGTGTCGTGTCAGCCCGGGCGCTCACCATCCAATCCCTGTCGCTGTTCTCATCATCCTCCCTGCGCCTGGTCCCCACAGGGCCTCACACACGGCGGCCACAGGTACAGCCATACGCGGTACAGCGCCCACTGAGAGACGACGGCCTAGTCCCCATCTCGAGCAGGTCCCAAGACGCCTCCGCACGCCAGCTGCTGCCAACTGCTGCCAACTGCTGCGCCGGGGCCCTGTTTTTTTTTTTTCCCTTTCCTTTCTCTCTTAGGTTCCCTTCTCGCCCGCATCCACCTGCACTTGTACTGCAGGGCGCGTTGTATTACACTAATCTTGGGCACCACACCTTGCACCTCGTCTTGGCTGCATTATTCAACAATCAACCACCATCTCCTCTCTTGCTCGCACTCTCACCATCACTCTTACTTTTCTGCTCTTCCTCATTTTCTGGAGATTGTTTTCGCTATTCCCGCTCAGTCAGAATTAATTGACATCTGCCTCTCGTCCATTTTATAGAGAGCAATCGGCGACTACTCACTCAGCCTCTACTAACTAGCCTTTACCGCTTCTACATATCTGGGCCTGGCTGATTGTCGAACCTACCTATCCTGGTTCACGATTTGCTCTTTAATCACCATCTTTCCCCTCTCGACAGTCCGCCAACCGAGCCGGTCTTGACTCATTTGCGACAACATTCTAAACCGCTTTGATCTGCTGATATTTCTTCGTCAACGCGGCCTGGTCATCTTCATTCCTGCGCACCAAGGTCGCTTCTATATTCGGAGTAACTCCCATACACCGTGAACGAACGAACCCCAGATACCGGCTGCTCGTCCTATTGAACGCTCCGACCAAGTCACGACAGCCCTGTCAAAGCAGCCCCACAGCACATTACTACCTTGAACTCCACGCTCCATCCAAGTCGGTAGGACGTCCTTTTCTTTCCCTCTCCCTCGTCCGTCATGCACTCTTATCCCATTAGCCTCTGCCGGTGTCCACTCTTTAACTCCCACCTTCGCCCGTTATCTTACCATCATCTCTTCCACTTTCCGTCCCCGGCATCGACTGACTAACCTTGATTTAAAGTACAGCGTTTGGCTCAACCATTTTGCTCAGTACCGCTTATTGACCCGATATCGAGCTTCGTGACTCGATAGACATGGGCAAACACTCGCGTTTCCCCAGTTCCACTGGGCCGCTACAAATATTCCAGGACGACATGCCAGAGAATGTCACCCCAATGACCAGTCACGCTCCTATGCCCTCTGCCTCAAAGCAAGCCCGAAGGCCGTTGACCAGCTCAACCTCAAACGTCGTTTTCAACCCGCCCACCGCGCCTCACAATGCGCACTCGCCCTTCAAGCAAAGACCTTCCTCCGCCTCGCAAATCCCATTGGCCTCGGCCCACGGCAACAAATTGAGCATGGTCGCGATGGCGCCTCCATCCAGGCGAGGTCATACCACAGATTCGTTGCAAAAGAAGCCTTACCTATCGAACTTCAAGACCGTGCCTCAAAAGCAAAGTTTTGACATAGCCTGGGATTACGGAAAGGAGAACGTCCATCCTCAGCTCTTCCCGGCACCTCCTGCGATAGATTCGTCGGTCAGCAACTACTGCCAGAAGCCGAACGGCAAGCGCGCTCTCATGGAGGCTGCTCCCATCAAGGAATTCAGGCCTGCCAAGAAGACAAAGGCTGAGTCAGTGCCAGCGACAGAGCCTGAGGCAGAGACAGAGGCGACAACCGTTATTCCTCCCCACGACAGCTTCCCTCCGATTCTCGATGATGGCAACAAACCTGCCCTCAGCTACGCCGACCTGATTGCCATGGCCATCTTCCGATCCCCCAACCGACGACTGACACTTGCTCAGATTTACAAATGGATCAGCGACAACTACTCCTTTTATAGCCCTACTGATGCTGGCTGGCAAAACAGCATTCGGCACAACCTCAGTCTCCAGAAGGCTTTTGTGAAGATCGAGAGACCTAAGGATGACCCTGGTAAAGGCCACTACTGGGTGATCAAGCCCGGTCACGAAGCACAGTACTTGAACAAGAAGCCGACTCGCAAGTCCGCCTCCACATCCGAGAACCTTCACGTCATATCGACTCGGCTCGAGCCTTCCAGGCCGGCTTCAGCACCGACTCAGGAACCTACGCTACCGCCCCCTGTTCCAACCTGCCAGCTGGCTCTGCCACCTCTTCCTGCCTCCCAGGCCACCATGTCAATGCCAGTCGATCTCTCGTCCGACGCTACTATTCCTGTCTCTGACAATCTGGGTCCCGAGGATGCTGCTGACAAGGTCGACCAAGATCTGTCTCTGGACTCATATCTCTACTCGCCTCTGCCTGCCGCCATACACTCATCACCGCCTGTCTCTCGGCATGTGGATCATCGAAGTAACACACCGCCTCCCGTCTCCCGAAATATTGCTTCATCTGTCTCACGGTCTCACAAGCGCAAGTTTGTATTGACGGACGACAGCGGTTACTACTCTTCTATCGGGTTGTCATCTGCTACCAGACCTAGCCAGCAGTTGATGCTGACATCTGAGGCTGACCGCCCTCGAAACAAGTCGAGGGGCCGTGCTGAGGAGGAGATCGCCCGTATTCGGAAATCATCTCCTTTCAGCCCGACCAAGACACGATTCTATTCCGCCATTCCACCTGTCTCTTCGTCTCCTCTCCGACCAGCGTACGACAAGCAGATGCTGCCGCCGATTACTCCTATGGTCAAACTTAACCCTCCTGCTCGACCACCTCCATCGGCATCTCCAAACACCAACCTTCGACTTCACCGCGACGCGGTCCGGAACATGCTCCAGTCACCCGATAGGAAAGGCGACGCTGAGAACATTCCGTATAGCCCAGCTTTCTACCTAGGCAACGACTTCTGTCCGTCCAACTTCGGTGTGAGTATCCTTAGTGATGGAGAGTTCTCTATGAATGAGGACTTGACTGGTATGGGTTGCCTTGAGGACGGTACTTTCCCTGTCATGAGCTCAGTTGAGGCTGGGTCTCCTATGAAGCGTCCCGCGAAGCGTACCCGTCTAGATCGAACTGTTTCCGCATCAGTTCTTGGTGATATTACCAACTCCGCTGCCAGAAAGCCCATCGCCTCTGCTCCACTCCTACGGCCACCTGAGCAGTCTATGCAGTTTGATACCCCGAGCAAGGCATTTGAAGGCCTGAGCTCCCCAAGCAAGATGTTCCAAGAATCTCCTTTGCGAAATCAGTCCACAAAGTTTGCCGACTTCTTGAACGTTTCCTTGGATCCCAATGACTGGACTTCAGGGGCTATGATGGACCAACTGGACTTTGCCCGCCCCGACGCTGGCGGCATTACAGATATGCCTGAGCTCGACATTTTTAAGGGTTTTGACAAGATTGGATCCACATCACAGAACAACAGCAGAAATCCCCCACGGAGCAATAAGCCCGGGTTACCGCGAAGCTATACGACTCAATTTTGAAACCAAGACGACACTGAAAACGAACGTGGCAAGATGACGAAATAAGCATAAACGTGTATGACATTCATGATTTGACGAAAGAATATAAAAACATAACAATTCCTTCGAGAACTGACCTATCTACAAAGCCCGATTGTGGCCTGCATATATTGGGTCGTGTCCGGTATGGACTAGAACAGAGAGACTCGGCATCAGTCGAGTGCTCGGATAGCTTCACGGCTAGCAGTTGATGACGATAATGACTTTGGGGCGCGTTCTACTCGCTCACAAGGCTTGGGATGCTGAATAGCAATTTGGTGGGATTTGTTTTTCTTGGTTGCGTGCGTTTCCCTTTACCTGTTTATGCTATGCTATTCTCTGTCAGGAGTTTGGATGGTTCTCTGGGAGGAATGATGAATAGTATTGCGCCCATGTTACAAGTTCTCGGTTTTGGGGGGGTAGCTTGCTTTGGTTTTCGGGAATGGAAAGAATAAGGAAGGGCAGGGAAATGAAAGGAACGGTCTGGACATCCGACCACGTATGGTAGCTATTATTTACGTGTTGGCCTCAATCACAGTGCTTATTAACATTTACTACGCTGATGCAAAATCAAGATTGTATGCCTCGCTGTGGCTTACTACCGGGTGAATCAGATCTGTCTCTCCAGGCATCTCGACCAGCCATTATCCCGTGTTTCGTTCAGGTAATGCACGAGTGGCTAAGACACCCGATCTAGGCTTCTTCTCGGCGGAGGCACTTCTCTCGTGTGTCACTGGCAGGCATACGAGTCGTCCGTGATGTTGTTGGGAAGGGGTATCAATTATGAATGACCTACGTATACTGGCTATTAGTCATGACTCCTTAAACGCCTTTGATCTATTCATCCCACATGAATGAATCTTCTATACCGTTCACCAAGCCTGGTCAGCTTCTGACTTCCCTAACCTATCCAGACAGTCCGCCAGTGACCGTGTCCCAGAATCAATTGTTGCTACAAAGGTACCGCCAGGTCCAGGCAATATAAGCGCCGCAAGCCGGCAACGATCTTAGGGTCGGTGTGAGACTCTTCCGAGCTCGCCATTTTAGTATATACGCATCCGTGTTGCCCAACCTGCCGCCTCTTTTTGGTCAATGTTGATCTTGTAGGGGAAAGGGTTAGTACCCTGGGTTGTGATGGGCGGTATGTGATCTTTGTGTGTATTAACGAATGCGACAATCTTCATCGCTGTTGCTGAGAGGGTCTGCTCCATTGCTCGTCGAACTTTAGCACGTTCTAAACCACGTATTAGCAATTCCGTTGCAACTCTTTACAGCGAAGGGGGGGGGGTCCATACCACTCTCTGTTCTTGGCTCGGCGACAGTCACTTTGATGGTCCAACACTCCCAACAAACCTCTTCGTCGCCACGGGATAGCCAGGCTTTGCGACGGCGTTTCTCGAAAAACTGAACAACGAGCTGACCACGCCCACCGTTGCCGCTCCCGGTGCTGGCGCTATTAGCACCACCTGATGAGCGCTGGACATCGATCTGACGCTCAAGAGCCGCGACGCGTTGATCTATCATAGTCTCCAGCTCGTCGTCGTCAACATAGGGAAGCGTCGTGTCAAGGACTTCGCGGGTTTGTGGGACGATGGAAGGGAAGAATCGGTTGAAGAATATGGTATGCAGTATCCCTGTGAGAAGGCATGTTAGTGAGGCGCATTCGTGATGATTTTGAGAACATCGTCACTTCTTTGTCGTCACAAGTATAGATAGCGGGGTGGGTGTTCAGGGTAGGATGACGATCAAGAGGACAAGCAAGCAGAGCCAAACTTGCCTTTGACTACCTCACGAACCGAGCGCGGGTCAGCGAATACGTCGAGGATAAACTCTGGTGGTTCTTGTTGGTCCATATTATCGGTGCTGTTGTAGAGTCGATTGTGGGCTACGATCATGGTTGAGGGTACGGGAGTTGAAGAAGAGGCTGAGATAGATATGGAGATAGGATAGGTAAGTTAGGTAGTACCTAAGTAGGTACGGGGTATGTACTAAGATAATGACTCTCCAAATGAAACAACGTCACTGGGGAACCATAAAAAGGGAGGGGCATGGGATCGGTTTAGGTGGTTCCCACTAGACTAACCCCGTGCTTCAGCTCGCCTCAGCACAGCCACACACTCCCTAACATGGTCTGGCAAGTCTGGCAAGTCTGGTCAATCATCTTTCCAGGTCACCAGCCACATTTCATCTCACAAACTCCACCTCCACCTCGGCCACGTCTACCGACTCCGACCACGGGGTAGAGGTATATCAAAGCCTCCATCCATATTCGGGGCCGAGGCTCGAGCTCGTGTTGGCACTGGCACTGACATCCAGCCCTGAACCTTTTTTTATTTCTTATTTAAAACAAAACTCTCCTAACTCCAACCTTACCCCAACGAGAAGCTCCCAGACCGAATCCGAACATTCAACGGCTTCTTAACGCCCACATGCCCACGCAGTGGTACCTTTTGCCTCGGTGAATCGATCGGTATACTTTACGTACAGTTACAACTTATGAACAATTGATCACCGTTTCCCCCATCGCGTATCTTCCATTATCTTCAAATCATGTTCACATCTGCTCGGCGCTGGCTGCGGAACAATCGTACACCCATTGCTGTCGGCGTGGGCGTCATCGGTGCCGGTTACGTCGCGACGCAATATGTCATTGGAAAGCTTAATGATGCCCGCGAGCGCATGAGCAGCGACCGCATCGCCAAGGAGAAGTAACCATCAGCCATCTGATAGCAGTGACACGCAAACACATACTGACAACCCACAACACAGTCTGCGACGTCGCTTCGAACAGAATCAGGAGGACTGCACATTCACCGTACTGGCTCTCCTGCCCTCCGCCACGACTGCCATTCTCGAAGCCATGAACACGGAGCAGATCACATTTGAGATCCAGCAGATGAAAGCCACCAAGGCTATAAAGAACGGTGGCCCCGAATCTGCAGCCCCGCCCAGTATCGCAGATACTACATTGACAGAGGACGATGGGAAGAGCATGGCTGGCCAAAGCGAGAGCGGTGCACAGTCCAGCCAGGCCCCTACATCTTCACCATTCAACGCCGGTGGCGAAGCGAACAAGGAAGCACCGAAGCCTCGCAAGACGAAGCGACAACTATGGGATGACGTGACCATTAGCGGCGAGTAACAGTCTTGCTCTTCTTCTCTGCACAGAACTAACACACACTGCAGCGGTGACGCGGTCTTTTACTTTGATATATACCCTTGCGCTCCTTACAATGCTAACTCGCGTTCAACTCAACCTCCTTGGCCGAAGAAGTTATCTATCGAGCGTGGTGGCCCTCGCAACAGGTGGCCAACAAGGCACCATCAGTCTTGAGAACAACGACGACGACAACACAGAACAGACGTATGGCAGTGACTTCGACATAAACCGCAAGTACCTGACCTTCAGTTGGTGGCTACTGAACAAAGGATGGGTGGGCTTGATGCACCGAGTAGAGAGCGCCGTGCGCACCGTCTTTGGCAGCCTGAGCCCTAGGGATCTCCTGAGCTTTGAGAGGTTCTCCGAGTTGACGACCGAGGTGAGGAAGCTTGTTGAAGGTTCGACTAAGGAGGAGCGTCAGAAGTCAGACTGGCTCAACTTTCTCCTCCCACCCCGGGGCATGGAGGACGAAGTGATTCGAGAGTCGGGCATCCTCGACGAGACATCCAATCAGGGTGGCGATCAGTCAACACCCGCGTCACAGGCAATCCTGAGACGGCTGCTTGACGAGACAGCCGACCTTATCGAATCACCCAGTTTCACGCACGTCCTCACTCTTCTCCTCGATGCGGGCTTCTCCTATCTCATTGATAATAAGCTCGCCACGGCCGCGTTTGAACTCCCGGCCTCAGATGGTATCGTCACTCCCGAACTCAAGGACCAGCAGCGGTCAAAGGTAATTCTACTGCCAAAGATCCTGTCGGTGTTAACACGTCAGGCACATGTCATTGGCGACGGAATGCCCAACGAATACCTCCAGAAGATGGAGACTGTCCGTGATCTGGAGGCTTTTGCTGCCGTCGTGTATTCAAGTAATTGGGAGCAGGAAATTCGCACAGATGATGACCTGATGGCTAGTGCTGTTGATCTTGGCGCTTCGCAGACAGCTGGTGGCACCAAGGCATCGCAACCACAGACTCAATCTCAGACACAGACACAGACACAAGTCCAATATGCACAAGGCGAATCAAGCCTGGTTGTGGTAGACCCTCAGGGGGGCTTCGAGAGCGCATGGGGACGAGCAGTGGAGGACAAGCCGTGAAGAGTATGTGTTCTGGTTGTGTTTGTTGTGTTGCCACATAAGTTTGGGAGTCATGGCGGGATTGTTACATGGAAATCAGGGATGGAGATAAAGGAGCAGCATAATATTGGGAAGCATCTGCCCTATTGAAGACGCAAACAAATGTCACATGTTAGTTATCTAGAGGCGAGTATACGGTGTTGATATAGTTGAGTCGAGTCCGAGGGATTTGGTTCAACAACCCCCCTCGTGTAAAATTGATGCCGGAAATGGCATTGGGTGTAGTCTTCTCTCGTCTTCTCTACTTCCGCATGCCTCCTGAGCCGGACATGAGGGACATTTCCGGGCTCCTGGTACGGAGTTGCGCTGTCATGCCGAAACCGTCGTTCTAGTCGGAGCCGGGTAACACGAGTGCAGTGTGCTTGTGGTCGGGTTATTCTCCTGGTGACGGCGAGACCATTAGATACACCTCCTTCATACCTGCAGCCCTTAGGCCATGCCCGGGAGCGCATTATGTGGACTGACTGGAGGGACGTGAGCTTGTTTCCCCATCTCAAAGACCTCATGGTCGTAGGTGGTATGTTCAAAGGTAATGCTTTGAAAAGTGCTGATTACTCTTGCTCCTCCCGCTCACATCAAGCCCCTGATGAACTGATCAAGGCCCAGCTCGAAGAGCTCGTTCTTGACACCATCGCCATTTTTGTGTTCCACAGGCGCCAGAGGGTTTTTGACCACTGCAAAGAAAGTTAGCTCGGATGTCACACTCTTCCTGGCTCATAAACCGCACCATATTCCACCCATAGGTTTATGTAAATTTGGTGTAGCACATTGCGCATGCTCAGGGTCGCTGTATCGGTGAGGATAACAAATCTCAAGTTGGCGGGTGTTTCGTAAAAGTGTAGCTTATACTGGGAGGTACGGTAGCTGATAAATGCATCGTCATCGCCGCCGAGCTTACGGACCATATTTCGAAGGGAGAAGACGGTGCCGAATAGGAGCTTTGCATCATCAGAGGATGTGGTCGGAGCAGCGGTTTCGGAGCCCGCTGATGGCGGAAGCCAGGACTTGGAGTAGACGCATTCGGCTGAAAGAGAGAATAAGGCTGTCAATCGGGATGTCTAGAGGGGGAAAGGCGAGGGAGTTTGCTCACTGTGTCGGTCGAAGATGTGGAATGAATAGACAACCATGATGGAGATTCAAGGGTGTGTTCAGGTCGACGTGTAAGTTCAGTGGGCAGTGACGGGTTTGGGTAGGTATTGCTTGAACAAGTTGGCAGACAGGTATAGCTCGTGTTGATTCAGACTCGGACTCGCGGCAGTGATAGATCTCGTTGGTCAAGGATGGGAGCCTAGAGACAGATGTCGAGGCTGATGGATTGCGATGTGTTGCGATGAATTGTTTTGGTGTAGAGGAAGCTGGAAGGCAAGCCTAGGTACCTTAGGTATGATGGAATCTCCCGCCATCTAGCCTTAGCTAACTGTGGCGCCTGTGCCCATTGAAGTTTAGTGAAGAGTTTAGGCGGGGTAGGGCCTAAAGCTTTTGACCAGCCGTAGACCAGTCGGCTCCAGGCTGACTGACTACAAGTGTTCAGCCCTCTAAGGGACTACCCTGTAAGCAGCTCACTCAGCCAAGGCTCACTCACTTACTGACGGGACTTGAAAAGACCTTTGGTTGGTAAGTTAGCTCTACCACCAAATGATATCACATGGCACTAATAATCACTCTCTAAACCCAATTTCTGTCTGTCGCGCTTCTCTTCTTCCTCTTTGAACCATTTTCAATTGGAGAACACACGTACATTCCATTAGTACCCAAGGTGTCTTAAGGTAAGATACCTTGCCTTAGGTTGTCAGAAGAAACAATTACTGTTATAGGTAGTACTTACCTACGCAGGTAGGTACTTAGTATATCGGTTTACCGTGGGGTGCGGGGCAACATCACTAACTAATTATCTTAGTCTACCTATTGAGTTCGGTTTGAGCAACTCCAACCCGCCCGACCTCATATCTTTGTCTAGGCACAGCGAGCGCATCGCATCGCATATCAATCATCCTTGACAATGGACGCAGCAACTCATCCAGAGATGAGACCCTCGTTCACTTTCCCTTCGCCTCAAGTCAGAGTCGACCAACATGACGATGCCTCTGGCGATAAACCTCCCCCACCACTCGTCCATCACCTGTAAGTCAGACTCAGAGCTACTCATTTTTTGAATGCGCCCAATGGGTCAGTTGACACTCGCATCAACAAAGGACGGAACCAACAGAAGTTCTTCATTTCTCGAGTCCTCTCCGGCATCACAAGAGAACCCCCAGCGCCCATCGAGAAGTCAAGGTGCGAAACTAACACCAGCACCAAGCAAGGCCTTACTGGGCTGACCAGTTCCACAGGAAACCCTCGATGCGCAGACACAGTTTGGGGATGAGGATGCCGATGGCTGCTCTCACCATCGAGTAAACCAGTATACAATCCTGGAAGAAATCGGCCGAGGTTCTTATGGCGCTGTCCATCTTGCAAAGGACCAATTCGGAAATGAATATGTGAGTATTGTGCCCCCAATCCAGCCGCCAGCCCAATTCGTCTCCGACTTACACAGCCTCAGGCCGTAAAAGAATTTTCCAAGGCTCGACTCAGGAAACGCCTCCAATCCACGATCCTCAGGCAGGGTCCTCGAGGCCCAAGGCGTATGGGCCCTGGCGGTCGGGATCCCTTCAATTCAGTGCCCCGGGTCAAAGACTCCAATGATGCACTGCACCTCATTCGAGAGGAAATTGCCATTATGAAGAAACTAAACCACCCCAATCTAGTACAGCTCTATGAGGTTCTTGACGACCCCGAGGAAGATTCCATCTATATGGTCCTAGAGATGTGCCGAAAGGGTGTCGTTATGAAGGTCGGCCTTGACGAACACGCCAATCCCTACCCTGAGGAAAACTGCCGCTATTGGTTCCGAGACCTTATATTGGCCATTGAGTATCGTGAGTGCAGCCACCTCGAACCCCAATTCTTCTGAGGTGCTAACGATATGTCGCGCAGTTCATGCTCAGGGTGTCATCCACAGAGACATCAAGCCAGATAACCTCCTCTTATCTGACGATGACGTGCTCAAGGTCGTTGATTTTGGAGTTTCCGAGATGTTTGAAAAACCTGAAAATATGAGAACAGCGAAATCTGCAGGATCACCCGCCTTTCTTCCCCCTGAACTTTGTGGGAAGCATGGCGACGTGTCTGGCACCGCTGCTGATATATGGTCCATGGGAGTTTCGCTCTACTGCCTCAAGTATGGGCGCATTCCATTCAACCGTGACGGAGTCTTGGACATGTACGACGCTATCAGGACCGATGAACCTTCTATCCCCGAGGACGAGAACCCGGACTTTGCCGACCTCATGAAGAAGCTACTCAATAAAGACCCGGAGCAGCGCATAACCATGGATAAACTTCGAGTAAGATGTTCAGGCCTTGCGAGCGCCCCAAATAACAGAGCTAATACCTAAGCAGGAACACCCCTGGGTCACCAAGCAGGGTACAGACACTCTCCTCTCCGCTGAAGAGAACTGTGCCAACATGGTGGAACCTCCAAATGAGCTTGAGGTTAATCGAGCCTTTACTCGCAAGATGAATCACCTCCTTTGCGTCATGAAAGCCATCCATCGCTTCAAGTCCATTCTGGCCAAGCATCGCGCCAGATCTAACTGCAGCTCGCGTAAAGACGCCGAAGGTACTTTTGATGCGTCCCAAGAAAGGGCAAAGGCAGAGGTGATCGAGGCGTTGCTCTACCAGCGGCGTAAGTTTCTGAATCAAAAGAGTGATGAAAGCAGCCAAATCCCGCCAATCCACGAAACCATGGGAAACAACACCCCATTCCTGGGAATCGGCACAGGAACAATGGACGAGTTCGCTTCCAATGAGGCTACTCCAGATATGGTGTCCGATTCGCCAACGGCCGTTGACTTCAACGTGTACGACCGAGCGTATGAAAGTGCTATAGAGAACATCACGTCTGGCCAGAATGATTCTTCGAGAAGACCAACAGTATATTTGACCAAGTTCGTCAACGAGACACGAAAACTGAAGGCGGTCCCTGGGCTCACTGGGAATGAAGACCCCTCCGAGAATTCTGATGGCCTACAGAAATCAGGGCCAGCAGCCAAGCTTTCGCACCTCACATCCAAGCTTGGCCTCTCAGGGAAGCAATGAGAACAAAGTTGGGCCTTGGTTTGGGGAATAAAGCTACACCTTGGGGTAAGGCTACGCGTTTGGAAAGTACGCTGTACCATTATAGCGCTGCGGGTGAACACAACATGGCTGGTAGTGGCGGATCAAAGGCGGTGGACTATTTTAGAAGCTCAGTGATAACGATACCACAAGAGATACTATGTGAAAAAGCGTGCTCACCGTGTAGCGTGAGCGTTGGATGCAACGAGGGTAATATTCCGAAGCAAAGCAAATACCCTCAGTTGCAGCTGTCAGTAGTATGAACTGCAGGCTGGCACGAGTAGCCGTGCAGCTGACATATTTGGAGCCTCAGCAACTCGACCACACGAAACAGAGGAGACGTACAGACAAGGTTCAGGTATGCGGTGACTCTTCTATTTCGGTGTGGTCGGCAGCCAGGCTTTTGGTGAGGAGGTTGACAGCCATGGAAGAAAGGAACAAACTTTGTGATTTGAGGCAAGGTGCGCAACTGCCAAGGCAGCCAAGAGCCAAGCCGTTCTCGAATTCAACCTCCAATAAAATAAGATGTGAAATCTTAGGTATCTTGCACGAATTACATGACGAGGAGCACAGGCAAAGGCTTCGGGCAGGCGTAGCCAGTAGATAAAACATCTTGACAAGATGTTAAGCCTGATACGTCGGTTCCATGCTGGCCGATGAGGAGACAATTGTCCGAGCACGGCTGGCAGAAAGGCTTTGCCATTCTCGACAACGTGACTCGCCGGAACAGCAACGGTGAGTGTCAGTCAAGATTAGTCGCGGCAGCGGGATGCTCTCCCGAAGACGGGATATAAAAATCCGGGATGACTCCTTCGTCATGCATAAGTGGGTGCCACTGTACAGAAAGACACCAGGAACACCCGGCGCCACGTGGAAACGGTTGCCCAAGGTGTCACTATACATCAAGTGTACTATCGAAGCTCAGCAGCAGACCCCTTTAGGGTTGCGATTGACGGCCACCAACATGCTGCTGTGAGACATAATTGGGTTAAGTATGTATGTGTGCGTGTGGCATGGGCCTGTGTGTGTCGCTATCTGGCCGGCAGGGTCAAGATGAAGACTTCGATAAGCTTGTGCGGGCTGCAGGGATAGATGGCTTTTCGGCAGCAGAACTGGGGGCTGGCTTGACAGGTGTCGACTGGGTATAGTGAAGTGAACCAGTGAGGTGAGCCAGTGAGCTCTCGGCGATAGAGCACGGGTAGTCTGAACGGTGGAGGCACTTTGTTGTCGGTGTAAAAGATGCTGTACAAGATGCTTGCTTGTTTGTTTGTTTGTTTGCCTACCTGTATGTATGTATGTAAATCAAGACGGTGTGACGTCAACACACAAGATAGTATGTAAGTACCTAGATTAATCAGATATCGAAAAGGTTGCGGTCTACTATGCAGTAGTCCTTGATATCTGTCGCTTGCTAATGCCAGACCAGGGAGGGAGTCGCCGAAGTGTCCCATTTTGCTTGACATTGGATATTCGTGGTGAATAAATGTTAATACGTGATAGACGCGGGTCGAGCGGTGTAGGGACCCGATCATACCTAAGGTACGCATGTTGAAGGTGCCTGATCCAGTATAAACAGAAGGAAGATAAGATAGATTCCTTGGTCAAGGAAAGAAAGTCCTTCAGGTGTTATGTCGGTTTCTCTCCCTTGACATGAATCATCCAAAGACGTTGGCATTTTTAATCGATTATCCATAGGGGTGTCTTCCGCTAGAACACATGGAATAATCCTTATATGTGATAAGGTTTTGTTAAAAGACCAGCTTGCAGGGATGTGCAAGCTTTCACCCCTGCAAGCAGAAAGAACCCTTAAGTTGAATACCACCATGCCGATCAAAGCTGTGCAATTCGTGACGGTTGCATGCAGCAAGTTGGCAGCCCTGCTCAGTGCCAAAGCTTCAACAAATATTACAAACCCACCCGAGGTAGGCCAGATGAGAAACCGAGGGTTGCAGGGTGAGTATTATACTACCCAGCTGCCCAGCACCAGGCTAGAGTTCAACAAATCGGCATGTTGACTTGATTGGCCCAGAAAATATTACTACCTAAGTAACTAGTATTTTCGGGTAGTTGGGGCGGATAGGATGTCAAAGTCGGAAGAAGCACTCGTAAAATTCAAGCCTTTTGCGCAGGGCAGCCCAACCCTTGTAGCTTGATGGATGGATCGATGGATTAAGCGAGCGGGTCACGGTTTCGAGCAATCTGGAGGCCTCTTCTTTGTGAACGAATCTTACAGAAAAAGGGCCAGATGCATTAGTTGGCAGAGCTAGCTCCATTGAGGGCTGGTGGGGATGGAAGAGCCCCAGACTGTATTGTCAGGAAGAGAGGATTCCCTGAGTGGTTATGGGAGGTTGACAAGATGGGTGCATATGCGTGAATACCTACCTACTGTACCTACCCTACCTGTACCTACCTTAGGAAAGGATGCCTACTAAGGTACCTTATGCAGCAGGCATCGTATTTCCAAACAATAGAAGAGCAGCAGCTCAGCAGGCCACGCCGCTTTGTCACATTGTGTGCGGATGTGTGGAAACACCTCATAGTTTACTTCGGTTGATATCGAGATTCCGGTCCAAGGGGAATCTATTCATCACGGTGTGTATGACTTGAGCCTCCTGTTTCCTCCCACTCAGTGGTGTTGTTGTCGATGCCATCCAACGGTTGGTCATGTTAGTAGCAGTGTAACGCCACCCACAGGGACAAAACGTTGACCAGCAGCTTACCAGTCGCTGTTCTTTACTGGGCTCGAATGAGATTGCAAAGGATATTGACACAGGAAGAAGACATACATATTTGATACAGGCGTGTCTCGATGCCAAGCTAGCCCGGTTGTAGGGGCCTGAGCAAACCCAAGAGAGGAACAATGGTCTCTTCGGTATTTGGGATAGACAATAACTACAGGACAGGTCGTTTTGAAGCGAGAGTACCTCATCTACCCCCTAATATAGATATCACTTGTAAACAAGATAGCTACCGTTTCTCGGGACAGCCACCACCGATGTGGAAGAATCGGCTTGTGACTCTGAGCTGGATTCCTTCTCCCTTGCCGTCTTCGAATGAGATGAAGCCACCTTTCATACCTTACATGTACCTAGGTTTTTATTCATTCATACTCGACAGCTCGTTGTTTGGTTTCTCTGACGACGTTGAAGTTCTTACTGCAGTATCTTACCTGATACTTATCTGCTATACATATTTCCTGAATGCCGGTCAGTACGCACAGTTTTACGTAAGATCCCTTCAGTGTCTCAGATGGCAGGCCAATTCATGATAATCATGATGTACTCGTTTTCTTCTTCACAAAGGGACATTTGCAGGGTTCAACAAGCAGCTGATGCCAATGTTATAGGGCCAGCCAATGATCCGCCAGCCATGATACCTTAAAGTGGGTATGGAGCACCGAGTACAGAGGAACCTTACCCTGGGGACTTGAAGTGCCATACTCATTTTGAAGCCTCAGGAGAGTGCAAAAGCACATGGGCTTTATAGTCTTGATGCCGAGACGTCGCCACTAACATGAGACTATCTTTGAGGGTTGACGCACGAATTATCGGGTTTGACGTACTGATCGCGGGTCACGTTTACGAGAGTTCATCACCATGAACAGGTATCTTGGCAAGTTAAAAGGTCAAAGTTCTTTTATGTGAAACATTGATTGATTCTCGACCAAGGAACGGGGGATATTACTCGAAAATCGACGATCCAACCTATACTACCGGGCATTTCTCTATCTCTCCTTATCATCACTAGCTAATATTTCATCATCAGCGAGGTAACAATCAAGAACCTCAAAAACAGAACCGCTTGCAAGTAAGCCCTGGACCAAGAAGTTTCTCAAAGGCACATCTCAACTACCTACCTACCTACCCAGGTAACGCTGTCATCACCTCCACAATTCCGACATCCCTGCCCTGTCTCCTCCGTAGCCAGATCTCTGTCCCTGCCCGGGCATGCGCCATTTCTTGGCATTTCTGCTAAACCAACGGTTAGGTTACCTTAGTTGGCCGGGGTCAGCACCAGACCAAGGGTTCCGCACGCACGCATGTATCCAATATAATGTCAAATACAAAAAGGCGAGCAGACCAAGCTGGCCTTCTTGTCACGTTATCAGGAGGAAAACGTTACGGTGACTTTCCATTTCTAAAGACAGATCCGTGTTGCAGCTGGGATATTCTATGACTGAGCCGTGATTTCGGCTTGTGTGAGGTTCGGATGAGCCTCGAACAAGCTGGAAATCAAAACCACCCATAGAGCTTGGTCAGCCAAACCATCCATGGCACATGTCAGTCAATAGGTACCTAGATAGGTGGTAGTGGAGGTGGCAGCTTTCCAAGCCAGCTAGGTACTGAGATAGGTCGAGGACGTGATACAAACCACTACCTACTGCATCCACGCCTACCTTTTGAAAACTCCTCATGTATAGGTAGTAGTTTTGTCGTACAAAGCACCCTTTGTTTGACTTACACACACACATATATATATATATATATATCAACGACATGGTCGTTAAAAACTTCTGACCGCGGCAGGTTTTCCTCATGCTACCTGGGCAAGTTCTAGCCCAGCCACTGCTAAGGTAGCCAAGGTACTAAGGTAGACAGACAGACAATACCTATTTTCGAATCGTGGGACGCTTCTAGAGAGTCGACCGACGGGGAGGCGGCGGCCAGTTAAACCTTTAACCCCCCCGAGGGTACCCGCAAAGATGCACCGCACCGCACCACACCACACCACACCACACCGCATCGACCGCTGAAGTGCATCGGCTCTGCTTTGAGCTGGTGTTGTTCACCAGCGCTAACGTTGAATCTGGCGGTGCGGGCACGGATAGAAATGCGGCAACTGTTCCCCAGTGCCGCTTCAAACATGGATGCTCGAAGAATTTAACAATGGATCGTAGCTAGGCTAGGAAACCAAGCATCAGTAAAGGGTCTGGGTGAACCAAGCCCTGGTGCCCCTCCGCCGCCGCCTCGTCATACCAGTACCACCATGGAACACATCAGTACCGCGCGGCTGGGGACAAGAACTTTGTCTAGTGCCTCGCCTCTGCACATACATAAAATGCGATGCGATGCAGTGCAATGCAATGCAATGTAATGCCTTGCACCGCCATGCCGAAACAGTCACCACGTCCTAATCGTGTGGTTTGACCTACCTAGGTATACTCCGCACCTCGTCTTGAGTTGTTATTGATTCTGTCGTATAAGGTATTATTGTACTATAAGGACCGGATCTCTGCTTGCCGGTGCGGTGCGGCACAAGGCTCACAAATCTGCCGTCATACATTTAGATGCTCACCTCGGTATCACTGATTGGCTCGCTGCTCTACGTCACAGCGTCTGTCTGGGTTCATGTGCGCTGGACAACATGCAATTGCAGCTGATATGATATCGAATATGAGCATGCAGTATCCGTACTCCGTAATACATGAGTAGGTTGAAGCGTTCCTTCGGAGAGTAATACATGGAAGCACGTCCCCATCCATGTTGCAGGGGGGTCTCCGCCGCAAAGCTTGGCTGTACATACATACATATTTTGGGAGGTCCGTGGTCCTCTTTTCTTTCTTCTGTGATAATCAAGGTAACTTAGTACCTACCTAACCAGACGAAAAGACAGATATGTAGAGGTTCAATGGGAGGTAGAGAAGGGTACCCCGTACCGGAGTGTACTTCATGTGTGCCCCTGTTGGATGACAGGCGGGGCTCGACGGTTCCCGGGCTCGAGGTACTGTGCCGTCTTGGCCCAAACCACAAGAGACCTGCTCCAGCGGGTCTTGCTGTCGTCCGGAGTGGCATCGACGTTGAGTGAGAGTTCCTTTTCTAGTACCTGGAACTCATGACACTACATCATGACTACTAGGTACCTACTCCGTCCGCGGAGTAGCGCTGGTGTACCCCTCCTTTCATGATGGGTTTTTCTGGTGAGGTGAGGTGAGGGCCAGGGCTCACCCAGGCGCCCAGAAAAACCCTTGGCTGCTGTGGCAGATGTCGGACATAGTTGAGTGACATAGACGAGAGACGTTGAAATAGCGCATTGGGTGATCGACCAGCAGAGCTGTCGTGTCTTAGTACGGAAATATGTCCTTCTGACCACCGCCAGATGCAGCCTCCGGCCCTCCTTGCTTGAAGCAGCTGAAGCGCTTTTGTTCCTCTGCACCGGGGGCCAATGCACTGTACATCCGAACGTGGATTATAGGGCATGATGAAACTGAGATTCAGCAAGAAAGTGACTGAGGTATGGATTTGCCGATGAAGAACCTGATGTAGCCAGGAACTGGTAATATATGGGAATGCATGATCAAAGAGACCCATATGATGCCGGCGCTGCTCCGGCTAGGTTCCTTGTATGCTCGGCTTCTATGTACCTACCTACCTACCTACTAGGTACCTTACCTTAGGTAGGAGTCTGATGTTGATGTATACCTCTACCTACTACCTACCTCAGTTATGTAAGGCAGCTTCCGAATTACTGGAACTGACGAAGATGTTTCTTGAGATGGACCTGGGTGATGGGCAAATGCAATGTTTGATAACCGGACTGGTTAATAACAGTCGCTGGTCCTTGTGGCATCCAATCCCATCTTGCCCGCACCATTTCTCCAGGTGCGAGTCCTTGTAAGTGCTAGGCAAATTACAGAAAGACGGAGCTATAATTTTTTCGTTCTTCCAGCGGTTCCATCCACGAGGTGCTAACTACTAAGCAAGTACCTGGCCCTCGGATTAACCCTTCAGGTACATGCGACTTCATAATATGGATCATACTTTGCAAAGTACTCGGCAGTACTGTGTGTGTGTCACTCACTCACTGCATCTGGGGGGATTTCCACCCTCGTATTAAATTAATTTGGGACAGATCGTTTGAACTCTTCACTGCTTATAACAAGTTAGCTTTGTTTAATAATTCCCTTCTTACCTACCTACCTGACTGACCCTGCCTAGGCCTAGGCCGTTGAAGAGGAGGCTACCTTAGGTACTCAAAACCCTCACTCACTCACTCACTATTTCTTGCCTTCTGTCGTCTTCAAAATTCCCGCTTCCCTTTTTTCCCACCACTACTTCTTTTCACCTTTCACTGCCCTTCTCTACCCTTCATCTCCGTCTTGCCCTTGCTCCTGTCCTGCCTTATCTAGCAGTCACGACAAAGATTGCTCGCTGCTCTCATCTTTTGTCGTTGGTACAGCTGCACGGGCTTCAGAGCCCATCAACGCCTGTAGGCGTTTGTTCTACAGTGAACGCTGCCACTGGGGAGGGCTACAGTTTCTTGTGTTCAGCTTCCAGTGCATGAGGCGCTGGGCTGTTGATTTCGAAATTACCTCTCTCGTCTCGTCATCGTGACACAGGTTTCCTACAGGTTGCTCCGTACGAGCTCCAGTTCAGTACCTTACCTTACCTTACCTTTCTTCGCGACGAATAGTGGTCCCTACCTAGGTAGAAGCCGACATCCTTCCGTGACCTGCACCCGCCTTGTCTTGGCGTTCGGCATCATCATTAGCCAAGAAAGACTTCACTTGCGGCTTTGAGCACCACCTCGGAGTGTCCTCTGTTTCCCCTTTTTTTTTTCTGCTGTCTTCTTGCTACTCTGCTCAGCTCCATAGCTCTACCTCGGAATAAGCTCTTTGTCGGTATTGTTCGGGACCTTCAATCAATTACATCGGTCCTACCAACAACAGAGCGGAACAGAACAGAAACCCGCCACTCTTGGTACGGGCTTTTTAGCCACCATCAACATCTCCAGTCCGATACCTACGCTGCAGTACCTAAATACTGTACACTTCAGTCCAATACGTTTTGCCGCTCATCTTTTGCTTCGCCTCATTCACTCCCCGCCAAGATCGATGACCCAAAGACAACTCAGATATCCCCCACTGTCCTGTTTTTGATCACTCGTCGATCTTGTTGTGCGCTGCGCTGCGCCATTTGACCAGAAACTAAAATCTCGCGCTTCTGCGTTCGGCACTTCTGTTGTTACCTGGCTTCCTGCTGTACGCTGGCCTCGGTTGCCTGCCAACTGAACCGTTGCTTCTAGACTTGTTCGTTGCGCAACAGACCCTTACTCGAGTCGTGCTCACTGACGCCCGTTTCTGGTGTCGCACCAGGTCGTCGCATATTCTTCCGTCACTTTATTCTCTCGATTCTTCGCCTCAACTACCCTCACCAACACCCGAGACAGAGACAGAGACAGCGACAGTGACAGTGACTCTCGTCTCGTATCACTTCCAAAAATGCCCACTGCATCTGGTTCCTCAAAACCGCCCTCCGCATCGAGCTCGAAACCATCCTCGGTTAAATCTCAAGATGGCGTCAAGAAGTCACCTGGGCCAGCACCACAGAATGGTGCAACTACTGATAATGGACATCCTCCCGTAGACACGCATCTCAAGCCAACAGCCTCAGTAAAGAACCGCCTCACCCGCATGTTCTCATCCAAGGATACATCAAGAGTTCCGACCCCCGCCCCTTCGACTGTCGATTTACCTAATCGCCCACGGGCTTCTTCCACAAACGGCACCTCTACACCCGCGGCAAAGGCTTCGTCCACCGAGAAGGGTAGCGACAAGGTTTCGCTCAAAACGACTGACAAGGCCACGACACCAGCCAAACCCGCTACGAAATCGACCAGTGGCAAGGAACCCTCTCAACGATTTGTTCTAAATCCGGAAGCACAGGGTGGCCATGAGCATCATTTAAAATCTAGTCGACGTCAGGAAAAGCTCTCGGATATGTGGAGAGCGATCATCGGCAAGAAGCAGGACGCAGCCGCTGAGCACGATCTATCGCTCGTTTCAAATTGGGTGGATACACTACAGCAAGAAAAAGAAGAAGCTGGCGATAGAAAAGGTGGGCCCAGCGCAACCACAACCCTGGTCGAGAAATACGGCAAATGCCAGGAGGTGGTCGGCCGTGGTGCTTTTGGCATTGTTCGAATCTCCCACAAGAAGATCGGTGGCAGCAATGAAAAGCTCTTTGCTGTCAAGGAGTTCCGACGCCGACCAGAGGAGACAGAGAAGAAGTATAGCAAGCGACTCACAGCCGAATTCTGCATATCGTCCTCGCTTCGACATCCCAACGTTATTCACACACTCGATTTGCTTAAGGATGCCAAGGGCGACTACTGCGAAGTCATGGAATTTTGCGCTGGAGGAGATTTGTACACACTCGTTCTCTCGAGTGGAAAGCTCGAGGTACAAGAAGCCGACTGTTTCTTCAAGCAGATGATGCGAGGTGTCGAATATCTTCATGAAATGGGAGTAGCGCACCGTGATTTGAAGCCAGAAAACTTACTCCTGACGACCCGTGGCGCCCTCAAAATTACTGATTTTGGCAACGGAGAGTGTTTCCGAATGGCTTGGGAGACAGACGCGCATATGGTATCTGGCCTATGCGGTTCTGCTCCCTATATTGCCCCCGAGGAATACACGGATAAGGAGTTTGACGCCAGAGCTGTAGATGTGTGGGCTTGTGGTGTCATCTTTATGGCAATGAGAACAGGACGACACCTTTGGCGACTGGCCAAGAAGGACGATGATGAGTTCTACGCCCGTTATTTGGAGGGTCGCCGTGATGAGGAGGGCTACGGCCCCATCGAATCTCTTCATCGGGTAAGTTGATTCAATGTGACAAGGACCCAAGGTACTGTGCAACCGTGCTAACTCTGTACAAGGCGCGATGCCGCAATGTTATCTACTCAGTTCTCGACCCCCACCCGACTCGACGCTTGACGGCCGCTCAGGTCCTTAAGTCAGAATGGGTACGTGAGATCAAGCTATGCAAGGCTGGTGAAGAGGGTCTATGAAGAAGATGATGGTCAATTTGGAGACCTCTGAATTCGAGCGATTCGAACTCGATGAGTAATCGACTTGAGCAGGGCGTACGGTTAAGGAACCAACTATGAAAGGGACTTCTAGAAGGATGGCCAATATCGAGAGGGCGGAAATAGCGGGTTGGCGTTGATGGCTGCGTTTGGCGAAGCAAGCCACGTCAAGCCACTGTGATGATTCGACGACCCATCGTTTGGACTATTTCTTTTGTTATTTTAATCGAGCAACGGTGTTGGGCGCATTGCAAACAGAATCATCGTCGTTTTTTAATCATTTTCAAGCGCATCATGTCCTGGCAGGGCAGGACGGTGCAAGGCAAACACGAATGGATATGAATCATGGGAAGAAAGAGACCTTTGGTAGGCCAAGAGGTCCTAAGCCGAGCAGACAGGAAGTGCAGTTCAGTTCCAAAGACATATGGTTTTGGATTTATCTCTGTCCCCAGAGGTCAAGAAGAAAAGAGGCGTCGGTGGTATGTACTCCTGTCGTAGAGACCCAAGAAACATGAAGCAAAGCAGAATAGACAAGACGTTGTTCTCATGTCAGCACAAAGATGCCAAGAGCACATATCCAAGATTGTTCTTCTTCTCTCTGGGCTCAGGCTCAATTACTGGTGTCACAGATGGTAGTCCCCATGACTTGATTGTGGTGAGAGTGGCAGGTTTCCGCCTCTCAAAGCATCCTCCGATTCCAGCAAAGTCCTGATCATCGGCACAAGTAGCCGGTGACATGATTCGCCATGAACTACCTATTCAGACATGCCTTTTCTGACTGCACCTGCAAGTGGTGATAATCGTGAATCGGATAGTCTACCCGGTGTAATTCCCGGGTCACGTTCGCGGCGCTTCGCACGATACTTCACGTATTGTCAGGACCTCATATGGGGCTCCCGAGTTCGTCGCTCTCGCTCGGTCAGCTTATAAAGACTGGGCGGAGCTGGAGAGGCCGTCGGGAATGAAGGTGTTGACTATCACGGGAGGTGTCGTCTTTCTCCCACACAAGGGACCGACGCCATCCAGTGACTTTACTACTAGCCTCGATGCCGACGGCGTCCCCTATGAGATTCTGACGCCCGAGGAGACCAACAAAAGATGGCCTGGGTTCAATGTTCCTCGGGGAGTTGACACAGTCTTGACCCCTGCCTGATTCGGGCATTGTTCACGCCGCAAAGGCTGTCATGACGCTCCAGTTCCAGGCTCGCTTCAACGGCGCCGTTCTCATGGATAACACACGCGTCGAGGCTGTGATGCCCCAGCCCGGCAGAGGCGTAACGATTGAAACGTCTCAAGGCGTCTATCACGCTCGCAAGGTCATCATTGCTGCTGATGCATGGACGAACAAGCTCCCCATCACCGTCATACAGGCAGGTAACCTACTTCAAGCCCCCTCGCGAGCACGAAGCACAGCAGTTTGCTCTCAAGGCTGGCCAAGACGCTGGAAGAAACGACATGGATCCCAGAGAGCGTACATGGCAACGAGCTCAGCCGATTTCTGTGTAGGCTTATTCCCAAGCGAGGCGATGAGCTGAGAGCCGTCACCTGCCAATACACAATCACCCCGGATCGACAGTTTATCATCAGCGAGTTAGAGAAGCACAAGGGTCTTATTCTCGCTCTCGGTAATGCACATGCCTTCAAACTTGCTCCCGCTATCGGTCGACTTACTGCTGAGCTTGCATTGGATGGAAAAACAACTGATGACATCTCAAAGTTTGGGTTTCCCAACACAACACCCAGCAAGCTGTAGTCAGTCCTTGATGCGCCGGATATAACCAAGGAGAATGAATAGAAGAACAGGGCTCCTTTGTAGAGGTTCTAAGTCTGTCTATGCAGGATACGTAATACGTACATGTTGTATATTCGGACCACTCCTGACATATAGGAACATAAGTATTTTTTGTAACCAGATTACCTGTGTTTCAAGGAATGGATTATTTATATCACAAAGGAAACTACAGAGACCTGCAAGCCAAGTATTGCCTTAACAGTTACCTCATCCTATTTCCAAACCCGTCCCGTACACCACGCGAGGTCTACAAAAACCGTCGCCAATAATAGATCCAGGCAAATCCGGGCCAATTCCTGGCCAATAACGACATAAGTATGCAAGAAGAAGAAGAAAAACATAAACCAAACCCCCTTCATCTTGCTCATACCCGGAATCTGGCAGCCCACCAGACCAAGCCGTTTCCAATAACCAAATAGAAGACGAGTATAAATAAATAGAATAGAGAGCCACAGCCGGATATCTGCCTTGTCCCCGCCCCGATGTTGCGATTACTGCAAAAAATAGTAGAGCCCATGATCAACAACCACTACAGCCAAGTCAATCGACAAGTGGATGGTGCTTCAAATCGAGGAGTAGATTGTTGGTGTAAGATTGTTACCTCTGAACATTCGGAATATTGACGCACAGTATTCATAGCGTCGTCAAGATGAAAAACATTATGTCCACCCAGTGAACCTCCAGCTCCGCGAACCGCCGTATCATCCAACCTTTTAAAGCCGATCTGGACGCATGCCACATAGTAAGATGGTTGAAGTAATAAACAGAAATAACGCCTGGATTATTAGGCTAAGAATACGACCAAAGCGAACTAGCCGTTGTAGTAAAGATTATTGTTGATTGGTGGTCATTCGAGGTCTTACGAGTGGAATAGATCCCACGCGCGTTCGCATAATCGGATAAACTCTTCCTTCTTGGCTCGCTGAGTTTCCGGGCTATCTCGTCCAGCACCAAAGGGCCCACGACGAGTGGGAGCAGGTCCATGGCCCAGGGGTGGACTGCCGTCCTCATATTCAGCCCTCGTCCTTCGCCTGCTGGTGCTAGCGCTTCGTGAAGCATCCACAGGTCGACTGCCGGGAGCTGGGGAAGGGGGTGTCGGGGGCTGATGTCCACCATAGTGGACAAGTTTAGGCAGGAGTTCCGGCCGTCCACCAGCAAGCTCCTGCTGCGCTTCCTCAGCGGATCTGTACTCACGACCTCGTCCAGGTGTAGGGGCCTGGGGAGGTGGAGGGTGGCCAGGGGACGTCATCGGCCCACGAGAGCTGGGGCCACTAGGGTAGAGAGACTGAGGCTGAGGAGCATTGTCGGGATGCGCTGACAGGCCTTGGCCAAAAACATCGCTGATAGGCGGTAATCGGTTGGCCGTTTGGGTAGCAGGAATGTGGTGGATATGAGAAGTACTCGAAAGGTTGGATGGCTGGTTGGTGATGTGACGGGTCATGGGAGCAGGGTGTTGACGTCCTGTAAAGCTGTGGCCCAGAGGCGCAGACTGAATAACTCTCTCGTTGGCAAATTGCTCATGAGAGGGCGCAACGATGGAGAGGCCAGGGGCCTTATTTCTTCTCGACATGCCGGGCGTCTTGGCGGCGAACTGTGACAGGGGATCTTTGTCGGGACCGTCCCCCTTAGCAGACTGCTGGTGAAGTCTAGCTTCGATGATGTGTCGTTGTTGCTCTCGAACTGACATGCTTCGCTGCAGCTGCTCCTTCATAACAGGGTCTTGGGTGACAAAGCCAGGAGACAGGCAGGCGATACCGACTTCTTGGATAGCAAGGCCGTCACGAGCTGTCATGGGTCGTGCCGAAGTTGGCTGGTTAGATTTGGGCGTATTCTTGGATAGGTCGAGTTTGCGTGGTCGAGGTCGTGTATGGGTCATGCTGGGAGAGGCAGGTTCCTTCTTGACAATAATCCTAGGGGGCGCGCCGGCTGATCGTGAACTGCAAGGGCAGGTGGTGAGTAAGGGAGTGGCCAATTGATGGCGACGACGGAGATGGAAAGGAGATGTACTTACGCGCTGGAGGGTGATGATTTGGTACCCTGGCCCGCAGCTTTAGGGCTGGTGCTGGTGGAGGATTGGGTTGTCGCATGCGATGTCGAAAGGTTGAGAGAAGACCGTTGTGCGGAGGGGGAAGTTCCAACGGTGGCAGCCGAAGTAGAGGGAGCGGGTAGTTCGGGGTTGGAGAACCTTTCGTGAGGAGCGGGAGAGGGAGCCATTGCAATTGCAGCACTCATAATGAAAAGAGTGCGAGTGCAGGGTTGTGGGAAATGGCGACAGGTGGTTCGTGTTGTAAGGAGACAGGAACGGGAACGGGACAGCTGCAAGGAGAAGCAGGAGGGAATAGGCCAGGCCAGGCCAGTCAGCGAGCCAGAGTGAGCCGAGTACCTGGGTTTTTCTGGGTCTGGGTTCGTGCGAGTTAGTTAGAGACTTCCTTTCTTGTATTGACTAGCGAGTACAGCAGAGACAAGCAAAAACGGATCGAAACGAATCGGTCGGAGACGACCGTAATTGTAAAGTGAGACAGGAATGGAAACGATCGTGAACGTGGCCGACTCGAGTCAGCACACGATTCGATTTGACTTTGGGTGAGTCTTGTCGCGGGAGTGACGGACAAGAAAGCCAGAAGAACGTCCAGAACTGATTGGAACCAGAACCACACAAAGGGAGGCCGGGCTGGGCTGGGCTGGGCTGGATTTGGGCTGGGGCTGAGATGGGCTGGAAGGAATAATATTATCGATAGCTCAGCTCAGGCGACAGAGATCAGATATAGAAGCTGGTTGGTCCGTTGGTGGTGGTGGTGGATGGTTCGACGACGACTCGCTCTTCTTTTTGCCCTGCGCGCTCTGACTTGGGTCCAAGCTCAAAGCGGGCGGTTCAGCTCTGTGCGAGATGTGACAGAGCAAAGCAAGCAGTAAATGAAGCAAGATCCAATTTGCTTTCCCTTGTTCTACATGCAAAAATGGGAGGTAGAAAGAGAGAGATGGGGATGGGGGTTCAGAAGGGGGAAAAGAAAGACGAAAGGAAAAAGAAAAGAAAGAAAGAAAGAAAAACCAAGATGACGAACCGAGAAGGATAGAAGAAGAGATAAGCCGGTTGTTATTTCCTCTCCTCGTTGCAGTTGCAGTTACAGTTACAGTTACAGTTGCGAGTAAATGAATAGGTAGTCGAAGGAGTAAAAGAAAAAGCCAGGGGCGTCAAAGTGGCCTCGGTCGATCGACTGGCGACTTTGTTTTATCAAATTCGGTACGGGGTGGATTGGGATGGGTTGGGTTGGGATGTTGGCTCCAGCCCGGCAGGCCCGTGTTTCGCCTGGTTTCGCTCAACTAAGTTGGTTTTAGTTGGTTCCCAAGTTCAGTTGGTCGTTGTAGTGGGAGACGACCACCTGCACAGAATTGCTTATTCCGTCGGGTCAATTGGAGAGGTAAAGTAACGCGACCTCTTGGCGGCTGTCCTTCTGGAGGGGATGGATGTCCTTGATAACTGTGCCAGTCGGGTCTGGGACAGCGAGAGAAATCCAAATCCAAATCGACAAGAGAGGATCTTTGTCGATATAGATAGGCCGACTGTGTGATTAGGCCTGTAAGTACTGACGGTGCAGGCAGTTCAAGCGGCTAGCCAACAACGTAAATATGCAAGACCGTGGGCCAGACACAACGGATCAGCGAATGAAGAGATTCTCACAACCGACTGTAGATGTGACGAGGGAGAGGCGTTGGTGACGGCGGTAGCAATAGTACAGGAGTGACAGCGAGCGATCACAGATAGCCGCAGTTCCGGTTGCACGTATCAATCAAAAGTCAGGTTCTCGAACGTAGATGGAGGTGGTAGAGGGACGCAATGTTGAAGGAAGATGGTGCCAAAATCTCAAATCTCTCGACAACGGCGAAGAAGGGAATAACAGCAGAGATTCACCATATCATCAATGAGGGGTCAGTTGGGAACCTGGCGATGTTTTATTTGTTGCCATGTATTTTATGAAGGGGGATACGGAGAAAAGTGACACAAAGCACAACGCCTGGTTCGTATCTTGAAGCAATGGATCCAACCCGGCGAGACGAGCCAAGGGACAGGGATGTGATCGAAAGAATAAAAAATGACTGGGGTGCGCCTGGTTGGCCACAGTGTATGTACATGCCTTAGGTCTGTCCAGGGGTGTGAGACTATCCAGCACCAATCCAAAACCTCAGAAAGGACGAACTACTACCAGTACCAGCCTGCCTACCTACTCATGTATTAACCGTAACAGAGAGCGGTGCAAAGGCCCCTATTCCAGAGCATATCGGTTCGTAGAGATCGAACCATACCGACCAACAGGACAAGAATAAGACAATGGTAGCTATCCGAGGCCTGCGTACCTTCCTACCCAGATAGGACTGGAAAATTGACAGCCCGGCAAACATCCTCAAGGAAACAGCACACGAGGCATGGCGAACCAGGGTCCGGGGTGGTCCTCACCTGAATCCTGCTGCTGGATGCACGCGACCCAAGCCAACGTTGGCCAGTCGTTGTTGACATCGTTGACATAAATTTTGCTCCCACCGTTGCTGGCGGTTTGATATTGATAATACTACTGGCAAACCCTTCGACGTGGTCCCAGTTGCTGCTACTTGGTCGCAGATCCCTGTTCGAATTATCGGCCATGAACCTCATATGCGCACGAGTTGTGTGTAATTGTTATACTGGTCGTGATGTGCTGCTTTGATTTTCCATTCAACCAGCATGTGATGTCCTTTGCCTCCAATGTACTGAGCATGGAGTTTCTAGCTCCATCACGCGTCGTTCCTCATTTCCACTTGTTGATCCTAAATTCAGTTGACTGAAGGCTGACTAATACTCCTTTCAGACGCTCTCTCTCTCTCTCTTTTGGGGAGGCTTCTATAGACCTTTGCTTGAACCCTGGTTGTTGAAGATCAAATTTGACTTGACCGCTCCTCAGCCTTGATAAACCTCTTGTGTCGATCTC